AGTTATTACTAGAAAACTATTAGTTTAATGATTAAAAGTATAGTTAGAAAAACACAATTTTGACATTATCATTGAGTTAAATTAGGTTAAGGCTAAACCACAAGTTAACCAGATAATGAAAAACCAACTTTAAGAGATCTCCTACTTTGATAGAAAGAATTGAGATTAAAGCAGTATTAAAACTGTGGGATAAAAAGAATAAGAATTTAAAGGCTTAAGAATACGATTAAGCGGAATTGATAAAAAGAGTTAAAGCGCAAGAAGAACAAATGTGTTATATAACTTAGAAAGACAGGTTAAAAAGCACCTTAACTCTCGCCACCTGGTGAAAGACCTGGTAAAATAAATATAAGGTGCTTTCCATTTAATGACACAAGTCAACACAACCATTATTCTATCTTTCTTAGCATTTCATGAATAATAAAAAGAGACATGAGACAACAGAATGGCATTCGTGTTGACTCGTATCACCGAATGGAAAGCACCTATATTCGTCGTCAGCGCGAACTTGAATGCGTGGGACGATCGGCGCTGATAAGAGTCACACTCCGGCGACCACCGTAGTAAAATCCACGTAAGCACGATCGCGCGCAAATAAAGCATGCGATAATAATAATAAAAAAAAATAAAAAAAAATTGCTCCCCGGAGACTCCCGCGTTCTCGCCCATTTTTCTTCGACAACAGACGCACGTCATCGTACACCTTCGAAAGGATCGTGGGCGACCTGGCGACGCGACGTAGGCCGAACGATCCGCAACTCATCCGCATCGTTCGCAAACGTTCGACGATTATGCCTGCGTAATTACGGCCAACGCGGCACGGCCGTCAGATTCTGGCGTCTATTTGTCCATTACGGCGATCGATGTTATCGCGCGCTGATTATCGTACGGCACATTTCGCAGCTAAATGCGCGACACGATCCACGAGCTATGGCCTTCTGTCAAGGTGGAATAGCATAACTACTATTAAACGGGGTGCCTCGGTTTGACTTAAGCTGATACTTTGTCATTGCCAATTTATTTCGTTATTTATTCCGATAGTAAACAATCGTCAGTGTAACGTAAGAGTCAGTCGTTGGTCGTTGTGAAATATATTATTTAAAAGTAGAGACCCGCGAGAATACCTCGCACAGATACGAACTTATAGCCTTCTCTGTCGAGGCGGAATAATACCTACAAACATCGAACAGAGAGCGTCTCGGTTTGACTTCAGCTGCTGCTTCGTCAGCTATTCCCAAGTTTATTTCGTGACGTTATTTATTCTGACAATAAATAATCATCAGTTTAATATAAGAGAGCCAGTCGTCGTCGTCGTCGTGAAATCTATTATTTAAGAGTAGAAACTCGCGAAAATATATTTCGCGCAAATACAAACTCTGAGTGGATTGCCCTGAGAAAAAAAGAGATAGGCATCGGTTATTATTTAGCGCAAAGGTGAAGTTATGTTAATAAGTCTAGCCTTTCAAGGCTCGCTCGTTGTCGCTAACGAGTCGGACGACGACGTTATCGAGTCAATTATGAAAATCATCTGGCGAGAAAATGCGTATCGGAGCATATCGGTTGTCCGATAGATTCCGTCAAGGGTTTGACTTTTCGCGGAGAAACGAATTCCGCGCGCGCGGACAGGCGGGGGTCCAAAAGTTATTGACAGTCGAGCTGTCATATCGGAAGCGTCGTGACGAGTGTCGTCGACGGGAGCGGCGGGAATCGCGCGGCCCGGGGCGAAGCCACGGCGACGATGTCCGACGGCGACGGCGCCGGGCGCGCTCCGCTCCGCTCCGTCGGCGACGGCGACGGCGCTCCTGATTCGCACTCACCAGGTGTAGCACGGTGTCGACGACCTCCCTATTGGACACCTGTCCCACCTCGATCAGGCCGATCAGCACGGCGAACTTGAGGCTGTCGTTCATCGCCATCGCCACCACCTCCTCGGGCCGCTTGATGTCACTGAACGGCGGGCTCTTGAGGTCCGCCATCGCGACGGACATTTAACGCGACCGCGTCCGCGCGTCCACACTCGCGAGGTTACCGGGGGGACTAGGATCGCTTCACACGAGGTTACGGGTCCTATCAACGGGAGCGTTTCGCCGTCACATGATAATACAACACAAATTGATCTGCCATGTTAGAAAGTGGGCACTGTTGTGAGCACTGCCAGCCGCGCCGGCCTGAATGTTCCTAGGCGGCACCGACACACACACACCGACGGCGCGTGCGAGCTTACGCGAGCTACGCCGGCGCTGCGAAACGTCCGGCAACGGCGGCAGCGGCGGCGGCTGCGGCGGCGTCGCGACGGCGCGGCCCTCAGCGCTCGGAGTCGTCACGCGAACCACGACGCGTGGCGCATGTGTCGACGCGCCGCGGAATTTATGAGGTTTATAAGCGTCTGTCAATGTTCGACGCTGTTTACGCGGTAATGATCCTCGTTAACGTTAATTAACCTTGTCGTTCAGTAACCTTTTCAGAGATATTGGCATACTTGTCTAGTCTTTTTTTTTTTTAGTCTATTTTTAGTCTTTTTTTTTAGTCTATTTATTAGCCTTTTAACGCTTAAAAATGTTTAATATTATATCTGTTTTTTGTTTTAATTAAACTATGATTTATGCCCGAAAATTATTCTACCATGTAGATTAATTTTAATCTTGGTTCAACGGCTTATTATTTATCTTTTTTTTAATTCTTAAAACTAAGAAAAGATGGAGTAAAAGTTATAGATAATTGAATCGAGATTAAAATTAAACTGCATTGGTAAATGAAATTAAAAAGAGATAAAATACAGTACAGCAATAAAAATAAATTACAAAAATAATACAACCAATATGACAAACAAATATGTAATAAATAAAAAAGAAATAATATAATTTCCTATATTATTTTAATTTCGAGAGTCCATAATTAGTAATTCTTATTAAAAAAGAAATCTCATTATATGACAGACATAATATAATATTTGTGCTTAAAATCGGTCTTAAAAACATGATCTTAAATTTAACTGAAATAATAATATCATAATTTAAATTGAACGTTAATTTAATAATAATAATGCTATAAAAAGCATCTTTAAAGACTATAAAAAGTTTATTGTAAATAATATTTGCCACTCACAATCGAGTATTAAAATGCTTTTTACTTTCTAGCTTTAAAAGATTATCCCTGAAAAGATTAATTTAAAACCATAATTCTTGTAAGCATTATAATTAGTTAATGAAGACTATTAAGAGATTAAACTGGATTAAATCGCCAATGAATCGTTTGTACAATTTGAGATTTTCTATCTTTCAAAAAGAATTTGGAATAATATTAAACAAGCGCAATCAATATAAATACGTATTTACATAAAAATAAAAAATAAGACAGCTGCGCGGGAGAATCCAGCCAGTCACGTTTTTGGAATAGGCCTCTTCAAAGTTTAAGTTTCTCCTTTTCAATTTCACGCTTCAATTTCAGCCAGATTCATTGCTAATTACTCAAAGACTAATCTCGCATTGCTGCTCGACGTCAATTAACGCGACGAGAGATCGCGGCGACGGAATTCGCGACGCGCAAACCGAGCGACCAATTTACGGGTTCAATTTCAAGGCGTCCTTGATTGGTCGTCAAACCAGTGCTACGCCCTACCGGCGGCATTTCGTATCAGCCGGTGGCGTACAGTGGCGCATGCATACTCCGATTTGAGGCTCGCCGTGGATCACGGCTGATCACGGCTTCCGTCGCCGTCGAGTGTTCGTTCTCGTCTCGTGGCGTTCGCAGCGGAATCGTAGGAAAAATGGCGACGGAGGATATTGACCGTGCTAAGGTAGGTACAAGAATTTCCTCGCTCATGCATACCGCTCCTCGACGTGATAGACGCGGTTTCGTTGCACGGCCGAAACTCGCATGTGTCTCGCATCATTCTCCAATTCCGTGTCTCGTTCTATCGACATGCATTCTTGTTTGATGAATTTCCGCCCGGGCAATGTTTAAAACGCTTTGCTATCTCGCGAAATGATCAATATATCCCTGCTCGTTGGCCGCGAATACTTCCTCTTTCTTCTTTCTCTTCCTTTTTCTTATGGAGCATTTTTTTTTTACATTGATATATGCGCGAATACGATTGGATATTTAAATCAAATCTATGAGTCATGTGTTGTCATAGCCAAGGGTGTTGGCTGTCAAGCATCATAACTGTACATTGAATTGAACATTCCTTCATGCATCTATTTCATCCATTTATGGATACAGCTTTCTCTCTTCTTTCTATTGCTTCTTTTTTTCTTTCTTTCTCTCTGTTTGAGAATTATAATATCAACATGTAATTTCTGTGATTAGATCGAATGTATGCTACGTACGCTGAAATTGTCTGGTCATGTTGGATTTGACAGTCTACCTACTCAGTTGGTGAATAAATCAGTGCAAAATGGATTTGTATTCAACATTCTCTGCATTGGTACGAAATGTTAACCTCATCTTAATGAGTTTTACTGTATTAGGTGTTGAGTTAAATAGTTTGTAACAAATACTAGTTTTAATTCATTTGGATAGGTGAAACTGGACTCGGAAAATCTACACTTATGGATTCTCTTTTTAACACAAGCTTTGAATCTAGTCCCAGTCCTCATAATCTACCATCTGTAAAACTTAAGGCACATACTTATGAATTGCAAGAGAGCAATGTCAGACTAAAACTGACGATCGTTGATACAGTTGGTTATGGTGATCAAATCAATAAAGAAGACAGCTTCAAAGCAGTCGTTGATTATATAGATTCGCAGTTTGAAGCTTATTTACAGGAAGAGTTAAAAATCAAACGTAATCTGGCAATCTATCATGACAGTCGCATCCATATTTGTCTATATTTTATATGTCCTACTGGCCATGGGTAAGTGTGTATGTTAAACTAATTACATACAGCCTTGTGTGGCCACAAGTATCAAGTACCTTCAAACATTGTTGTGAACATTCTAAATAAACGTATCAATATTCTAAATGAAAAAAATTAAAAGACTATTTTATTAAAAGTATTATTTTTATAACAATATTAATATTTTATTAGTCCTCTCCTTTGACTTATTTTTACCAATACTCTTGAAAGAATAAATTGAGAGTGCTTTATACTTATGGTCGAGGCTGTATTAGAAATATTATGAAAGTTGCTTTAATTTTACATATATTCTTATACTTTCAGCCTAAAATCTATTGATTTAGTATGTATGAAAAAGCTGGATACCAAAGTTAACATCATTCCAATTATTGCTAAAGCAGATACAATATCAAAGACTGAGTTACAAAAATTTAAGGTATGCGACAATTCCGCTGAAATTATTTTTGTCTACATATTTGTGTTATCTTATTTATTATAATATTTGTATTTCAGAGTAAAATAATATCAGATTTGCAAAACAATGGAATACATATTTATCAGTTTCCGATCGATGATGAAAACGTAGCAGATATAAATGTCACCATGAACACTCATGTACCTTTTGCTGTCGTCGGCAGTACCGATTTCGTTCGCGTCGGCAATAAAATGATGCGTTCTCGTCAATATCCATGGGGTACAGTTCAAGGTAAAGCTTATAAATTTTATTTGTTACATTTATATTTAAAGAAATGAGCTGAAACATTAAATATCCTTTATGTTATAGTCGAAAATGAATCTCACTGTGACTTTGTAAAACTACGTGAGATGCTAATAGGTACTAATATGGAAGACATGCGCGAAAAAACGCATTGTCGCCATTATGAACTCTACCGGAAAAAGAGATTAGAACAGGTATGTGTTTCATTGTTTTTGTCAGAAAAAACAAAGTTTATCTTTTTCTTAAAACTTCTTATCGTCGACTTTCAGATGGGCTTTAGTGACGTTGATAGTGACAACAAACCTGTTAGTTTTCAACAAACGTGCGAAGCGAAGAGATCCATTCACTTGCAAGAATTGCAACAAAAAGAGGACGAGATGCGCCAAATGTTTGTCGCTCGAGTGAAAGAAAAAGAAGCCGAATTGAAAGAAGCAGAAAAAGAGGTAACCTTGTTTTAAATATATATAAGCTCCAATTTACTGTGTTTATTATTACAGCTATTAATTAGTACTAATGTTTATTGATTTTTATATATATATAGCTACATAGTAAATTCGACAAGCTAAAGAAAGATCATACTGAGGAAAAAAAGAAATTAGAGGATAGTCGTAAGAAACTTGAGGACGATATATTGGAATTCAATAGACGAAAAGCGCAGTTTGCGCAGCAACCCCAACATCATACGCTGACATTAGGCAAAAGCAAGAAAAAGTAAAATGTATTTCATCATGACGACATCTTTTTATACCATTTGAATATGACCATGCATTTTAACTGCATTATCCAATAATAGTATTATTCTTTAATTATGTATATGCATACCTGACATATTTTATTTTATTATAGAACATTTTTATATATATATATAAATATTCCGTATATATTAAATATATACCAAAAATTTTTTTTACAAATATATTTTAAGTCGCATATGTTTCGTATTATCAAGAAATAATACTCTGTTCAACTACAAACAAAGACTAATGTTCAATCAAGCATATATTTTTAAATTAATTTGTAATGAATTTGATTTTATACGAAATATATGTTTAGTATACAAATTAGAATATAATATCCCTTTCCTATAATTATCAATTAAAAATAATTTTACAATAGCAATGTCGAAATAAGATCTTAATAAGCTCGAAATAAAAATAAAAAAAATAGTACGATAACTGGCGAAGAAAATAACATATTCTTAATATCTAATGAATACTTTTATATTGCGTATAATATCAAGCAAAACTATTTTCGTTTTTTGGAATCGTAGTATTTGGGAAACAGTAAATTTTTTGTACGATTCCAAAAATCATAGGAATTATAGTAGTTGTGTGGATAATAATCGCATTTGCAGGGTCTAAAAAAAATGTAGTGATGTGCTAGTCATAAAATGTTTGAAAATATCTTACTGTCAGATATTTTATTGTTCAACAAAATATAACAACCGACATAATAGTTTTGAACTTAGTTGAATAGATTAAGATAAATGTTGCGTACGATATATCCGCATATTAGACAAAATCTTAAAATTTGCGAAAGCCTAGTGCAGTTATTATGAACAAAGACTAAACATACATATACAATGCTATCGTAATATTTTATTAATAGCCGAATGATTACGACGAAACAATATATAGACAATAATTTTTTTTAAAATACGTTTATCAATATT